TTTAGAGATCTGTTTCGATGAGACATCTGCGTCCTCGATTACAAGTAACTAAAGGTCAGTGGGGTAACCATATTTTAGTCAGAATTTTATCTAGCGACTAAGTTACTTACAAAAATACTATAAAACCCGAGGGGGGCGTAGAATAGGCGATATGAATATCCTAGTAGGGTCGCCATTTCTCCTAGGTGTTTAGACGAAAAAAGTCATGTGTAGTGTCTTACGCAGGCGTCTCCAGCGTTCGGATCCTCGTTTATGCAGGAAAACGAACGGAATTAGTATTTTGACGAATTCAAAGGCTGATCTCAAATATGTTCTAGCCAGTATTTACATTTGTGACTATGGGTGATTGAGAAGGGTTTTTATATAATCTGCCCACTATACTTCACACACCATCTTCACCGGCTTTGCTGGCCTTAAGATGAGTGAAGCTATCGGCACCAACAGTCGCTGCCAACGCCGCAATCGCCATCGCCGTAGTAGCAACACTTCATAGGACCGAACCCATCGCTGGTTCTGCAGCAACCCTTCACCCCACTGTCGATGATTCCTCCACAACAGACTGACGCAGCTGGCACTGCCCTCTTCTTTGCCATCACCCCAGCTGTTTCTTTCCAATCTGTTATCAAACATGATAAGGATTTCTTGAACATCCGAAACCGATGGATCCCATCAGCTACTCAGAGAAGGTGGATATTCGTCCCTGAATCAATTGAAACCGCTTATCCGCGAAGCATTTCCAGAGAGGAGTCTCACAAAGCGGCACAGACAGCACCCCAATTGTGCAGCGGAGCTGAGACTTTTTCGGCGCCACCAAATTCCCTTGGTATGTCCACTTGACACCTTTTCAATCGTAAAATATGTTTATAATCTTTACTTTGGGCCTCTCATTTCTATCTGTGTATGCTACAGTCCAAACGAAGTTAGATTGAACTATGTTTCTAGCCCGATGTTAGAAAATGTTTTATAAAAAAAGTGTTATGAACTGGTCGACTGACACAAGTTTAATGCTCGTTTTCCTTTTCACACAAAACTCCTATTCCATAACCACAACGGCTAAGCTGAGTTCTCTCATGGCTAGGACGCTCACTCCTATACCACTGCAGCAGTTTTAGCCATCGGCAATTGAACCTCCAATACTGACGACCTTGACACCATTACAAAGAATTAATTAACCATCCCCACTTTCTCCACCACAGCCTTCCTTCACGGCACAGGTCACTGTGTCACAAAACCTACCCTTTCTATTCTCCTGTTTGCTAGATGCCAAAGAGTTGTGGCCACCACTGAAGACACGAAAACCACCTTCACGAATGAATAAAAACATTCGCGTTCCAGGCACTTGCATGCATGAGGAAGGAGGGTTGTGGAGCATCGGCTCAATTTGTTTATTGTCCTGAGCTTTCGGGTTCTTGCGGGCGTCCATCGTCAGAGATAAAAGCGTCCACGGAAAACAAGCAACAGTTAAAGGGAGCAGGAGCTAATCAACCGTTATACGGAGAGGAGGAGGGAAGGGAACTCATTACTCACAAGCGTCGGCCGTGCAGACATGCCTGCCGAGAGCGATGCATGCTGGCGCCAGATAAATAGATCAACTGACTGAATTGTCATCCAAGGCCCAGGTTTCAATCAATTCTCGGCCTGTCTTGCTGCCGGCGTGCGCGATTGTCTTCGCAGCTACGGATTTAAACTCGTGACCTGTCTCTTAGGAGTTGGCTCAGGGCAATAAATAAAATGGATCCGGTGTTCGACAACCCTTCTTCCTCATTCATGAAAACAGCCTTGCCTACCCTCTCGAAACTCCGTTATCCCGTAATTGCCCGTCCACATCGACTCCGACTCCCCCAGAGCCAGTACCCACAGCGGTTCACCCATATTCCCTGGGTTTGCTAGCTTTCTAGTCGGTCAACAAATCGGTGCCAGCTATCCGATGGACACAGCCGGCAGCACCGTAATCGCCATCGCCACAGCCTCAGCAGCAACAGCACTTGACCTCACCGAACCGGTCGCTGGCTACGTAGCAACTCTCCAGCGTTCTGACATCAAAGTCTTCCGCAAAATTCCCGGCATTATAGACTTTGGTGCAGCCGCCACTGCCACTTCCTACGTCGTCACCACCGCTATTCCTTTCTGACACGTCATCAAGGCATGAGACAGACGGCTTGAACACCCACTCTGACGAAATCTCTGAATAAGATCTGCTTTCAGAAAATATATTTAGTAGAATGATTCCCCAGCTTAGTTGGCCAACGTTCAGACGACTGACTTTACTTTAGGGATACGCCATCATTAAATGCGTCCAGTGAAACCTAGGAATCCGACCTGCCGCTTAGAGGAGGCGGCGATTCGCCTCGGAATCCACTGAAATTGCTTATGCAGACAACAGTTCCGGAGAGGATTCAGAGCAAATGTTCACAGACAGCACCTGTAGTGGACAGTGGAAACCAGGTTTTGTCAGCGCCATCGACCTCCATTGATATTTCCGACTTGCAGGTTTTCAATCTTAAAAGTCTTATTTACCCCATTTTGAAGCCTATTTTTCCTACCAGTGTGTTGCTTTCCTAATGTCAGAAAATGTTTAATAAAGACGCGTAATCCACCGATCGACTGAAATGAGCTCAATTCGATGTTTACTTTTTCAGACGAAGCTCCTGTTCCATCAGCCACAGGGACTAATGTAATTGTGCGCCATCAGCCCTGAAATCCGCCAGAATACTCACTTCGTTTCGTCTCCCTCCACAGACGACGATCTCAACGCTGGATACTAGTGCGTAATGCGCTACGCAGGATAATTTGTCTAGGCACCGAC